AAGACATTTTGGCCCAGAATTCCACCCTCATTTCTGAGCAGAGGGAAAACAGGGATTAAAGCAGGAATTAAAGGGGGTTAGGAGGGAAAATGCAGCTCCAAACTTTCAGTAATCAGGGATGAATGGAATGAGGGATGAATGGAATGAGGGATGAATGAATGGAATGAGCAGGGAGGAAGGATTTGCCACAAAAAACAGGGAAAGAAATGGGAAGAGAGGGGATTTAAGGGGGAAAAATGAGAGTTTCAGTGGGATGAAAAGATGTTGTGGCTCAGAATTCCACCCTCATGTCTGAGCAGGGAGAAAACAGGGATTAAAGCAGGAATTAAAAGGGGTTAGGAGGGAAAATGCAGATCCAAATTTTCAGTAATCAGGGATGAATGGAATGAGGGATGAATGGAAGGAGGGATTAATGGGATGAGCAGGGAGGAAGGATTTGCCACAAAAAACAGGGAAAGAAATGGGAAGAGAGGGGATTTAAGGGGGAAAAAAATCAGAATTTCAGTGGGATGAAAAGATGTTGTGGCCCAGAATTCCACACTGATTTCTGAGCAGGGAAAAAACAGGGATTAAAGCAGGGAAAGAAAAGAGAAGAGAGGGGATTTAAGGGGGAAAAAAAAAAATCAGAGTTTCAGTGGGATGAAAAGACATTTTGGCCTCATTTCTGAGCGGGGAGAGGTGACAAAGCTCCCCCGGGCTGTTAATGGGGTGACATTTCCATGTCTGAGCCTTGTGCCAGCTCCCAAATTGCTCCAATTTAGCCGCTGGCAGCTGCCAACTCACCCCCTGAGCACCTCAGCTCGCTCCTCACCACCTCCTTCACCTCCTCCTCCTGTGCCAAGGCAGGAAAAAAAGGGATTGAAACCGGGATTTTTCCACCCTGGCAGCGTCTCCCTCCCCTCATTCCCCCACTGGATGGACTCTGGAAAATTTAAATTATCAATTAAACGGTACAAAAATCGATTTGCAACGGGATAAAGACCTAAATTTTGAGGGATCTGCAACGGGGATTTCCCCCTGATCCTTCAAAATTTGGGTCTTGAATCTGTTGCAAATTGGGTTTTGTGCCACTTGATTTGTGCTTTAATTTTTCCAGAGGGTTCAGGATTAATTTGAGCAGCTCCTGCTTGATCCAACACCAGAGAAAAGCAGGAGACAGGAATGTGCCAGCAGGGAAAAGCTGCTTTTCCAGGCTTATAAATCCTGAAGGAAAAGGAGTGGTTGATCCACATGGATCAGGGAAAAATCCCTGCTGCAGATCCCTTAAAATTTAGGTCTCCATCCTGTTGCAAATTGAGTTTTGTGCCATTTAATTGATGTTTTAATTTTTCCAGATCAGGGGAAAATCCCTGTTGCAGATCCTTTAAAATTTAGGTCTCCATCCTGTTGCAAATTGGATTTTGTGCCATTTAATTGATG